AGCTGATGATGAATGTATTACTCATAACTAATTTCTCATGAGCAGAAGTGAAACAGATCCAGTTCAGAGCGTTGAAGTCTATTCTTTGAATGCTCTGGGCCAGACGTATGAGAAGACCTGCTACACAAGCCAGCAGCATCAACCTGCAGCTTTCTCCTGCACACCCACTGAAGCTAAGCAGGGTTGAGTCTGGTCAGTACTTGGATGGGAGACTTTCGGGGAAGACCAGGTTGCTGTTGGAAGAGGTGTTAGTGAGGCCAGCAGGAGGAGCTCATCCTGTGCTCTGAGTGGGTCCTAATGCCCCAGTATGGTGTTAATAAACTGTACTGTAAAAAGACACACCTGTGGTTAATATCTTTCTCAGAAAGATAGAGGTGTAACCCTGGTGTAAAATAGTCCCTACATCACATTGCCTAACTTCCCCAATCCCCCGCACACAATCATTACAAGTAGTTAGTTAGTTTGACTTCACCAGTGATAGAGTACTTTTAGTTCTTACAGCTTGTGTGGAACCCCTAGACATCACTTTAAGGTCCTACACAAGCACACACTCATATTATGAATATACTGTCATGAATTATTGAATCAGTCTGTGCCTTTCATATGAAACTATGTTTGCTTGGTTCAGATATTAGGAGTTTCATTTAAAAAAAAAATATGATCAGTTATATAGCAAACACAAAAGCACACCTGTCAGTGAAGTTTCCAGTGACCTCAGTTTATTTTCCTGTTCAGTGAAGAAGCACATAAAACTAACTTCAAACTGTTCACTACTGCAGTGTTTGCATAGAGAGTGTGTTTTACATGAGCGACACACGCTTCAGTGCTCTGCATGTGTTTATAACTCTGTCACACATCAAACATGATCAACAGCTGCTTTTCACTAGAAGTGTACCTACAACCAACAAAAATGACTTTCATCCCCATATTGATCTGGACGCTGGCAGCATTATGTCAAGGTTTGTGTCAGTAAAGATAAGTTTACTTGTTGTTTTCATGAGTGGTGTGAAGATATATGTTTGTAAAAGTGTTTATGATTTCTAATCTTTCTCATTTGACAGAATCTATTGGGCAGGTGACAGTGACTCAAACTCCCTCAGTGCCGCTCGCTCAGACTGGACGATCAGTCACTGTAACATGTACATTTAACAGAGATCCAGACTGCTGTTATAATGCAAAACCTGCTCTTAGTTGGTACTTACAGAAACCCGGAGAAGCTCCTAAACTCCTGATTTATTATACAAGCACACTCCAGTCAGGAACTGCATCTAGATTCAGTGGCAGTGGATCTAACAGTGATTTCACTCTGACCATCAGTGGAGTCCAGACTGAAGATGCTGGACATTATTACTGTCAGAGTTACCACAGTGGTGGTGTGTTCACACAGTGATAAAGAGTGGTACAAAAACCTCCGTCAGTCAGAGTCACAGTGACTGAACTGATGCTGCAGCTGCTCAAACACTATCACTCACACTCAATAGAGCATATTTTTATAAATATTGAATGAAATATAAAGCATTCATTTTAGTTTTTAACACAATAAATACTTAAATCTACAACACTTTATCTTATTAAAGTTATCTACAGTTTTATCTGTGAGGTTCAGAATTTGACCGCATGTTCTTGTTTCATCATGAATCTGCAGGTGTTTTCATGGTTCACGGAGTGAAGTTTATTGATCAAATGTGAGCTAAAGCTCTGATCCAATGAAAGAGCTGAAACACAAATGACACACAAAGACATAAAGCTACAATTGACTGAATTTTAATAAAATCATAATTGAATGATAAAGCACACATATAGTCTTGTATGAAGCACACAAAGCAGAGCAGATGCAGCTGAGAGCGACTGAAGCTGGTTGTGGAGAATGAAGGAGTCGCTCATGTGCTGTTAGTCTCCAGTGAGACACGAGTGAGAAGAGCAGCAGATCTACTCTGAACACTGCTGTCTCGTCACGTGTCCAGTGAGCGCAGGCTGGCCGCTCCGTGTGGCCTCACAGCTCACTGAGACGCTCTCCATCCACTCCTGCTCAGAGAGAGTCAGGCTGCTGCTCCAGCTGTACAGACCGTCCTTCTCCAGGAGCCCAGCGCTGCTCTCCTGAGACCTGCTGCTCCCGTCCACCTTCCAGCTCAGGCTCCAGTCTGACGGGAAGCCCTCGCTGGCCACACACACCAGTGTCGCTGTCTTCTTTGAGGAGATCTCTGCACTGGAGGGCGGCAGGACACTCACTTTAGGACGAGTGACGCCTGACAAACACACAACAGTCAACTCGGTGAAGAAGAAAACATTTCTTTACTATCAGGTTCATAAAAATATATGAACGATTAATACAGTGATAGCTTTATTAGTCATTTTTGCAGCATTAAACTGCAAGTCACCTGAATGAATTTTTGCAAAGCCTGTGATCAGCAAAGCAATGAAAGTTTGGTGAAATGTATTTATTGAATTGAAGAGTCATTTTCATTATCTACTTCAGTACTAGTCACTTTTAGTAAAGGTCAAAGATCAGATGTGAATAATCATAATTAGTGCAGGAATTCATTGAAATATTTGATGACAGAATGAGAAAATTGGGTACAAAAGTTTGTTTTAAAAAATAGAAAATATAACTTTCATCTGGCATGTCTTATAAATTATTAACGTATCAAATATGAACAAAAAATATGATTGAGCAACCTGAATTTCCCATTTAAAAATATCTGCAGACTTTACTGAGAAATCAACACACTAATCTGAAACTTTTAGTTTAATGCCTGTCTTAAATATTCAAGTAAAATCAAAGTGGTGCCAAAATGACAAACTAATGTTCATTTGATTCAGTGCACCTTTTTAACATTTAGAATTTAATTATCAATGAGGAAAAAAGAGCTGAATCTCTGAAAACTCATAAAATCAAGTTATTAGGAAATAACAAATTATTATAGTTCACTGGATGAAAACAAAGATGCAGTGACAATGAAAACCATATGGTTTTTAGGTAACACTTTATTTTGATGGTCCATTTTGAACATTCTGTTGACAATAAGTAATGTTGCACCTACATGTCTACTAACTCTCATTAGAGTATTAGAAGACTTTCTGCTTAATATCTGCTAACTCTTTATTGTCATGGTCTCCCAACAGACATTCTACTGACTATCAGTAACTTTGCAAGTACGTCAACTTATTCTAACCCTAACCCTACCAGTCTACTAATACTCTAATGAGAGTTAGTAGACATGTAGGTGAAACATTACTTATAGTCAACAGAACGTGTTAAAGGGACCATCAAAATAACGTGAAACCGGTTTTTAATATTGACTGCCAAACATTCAATGTGAACTAAAAATAAAATTACAATATAGAAATAAGTGTAAAAGTGCATCCTTTCTATAGAGCAACAAAGTGTTTCACAGTCAGTTGTTGTATTAATAATAATTAATATTGATTTACTTACTGCCAACATCCAGTTTGGTGCCGCTGCCGAAAGTCCACCACAGTGATACAAACTAATAGAGCAGCTGAACAAAAACCTGCTGGACGCTTCACTAACTGCACAAACACACATCAACTGAGTCTCCAACAAACACATCCACTCACAGCAGACATTACCTTCCTTTACTTCATGTGCTTTATGCAGTCTGCATTATTACTAAAGAGACGTGTGTGATGATCCTCATGTCTGTAAAAACCTGCAGGAACATCCATGGATTTGACATAAAATTTAGTAATTTACAGTCATCTTTCTATCCAACTACAGTCAAAAATATTCCCAAAGTCTCACAGGAGAGATTCAGGATAATATACTAAAGATGATTTTGAAGATTTATTCAGAAGTGAATGATTTGATACAATTAAAAACAGCTTAGCTATGAGAAGATCAAATATTGAAAGATTAATTTAGTAATTGTATTTTGTGTCTGTTAGTGAGCGACTGTCTTCTGGTAAATGATGTGGAGTGTGTTTGCATATTGATCAGATGCTTCAGTGCTCTGAGAGTGTTTATAGTGCTGTGAGTTTAACACTTCATCACTGACACACACAACAATCTTCATCAACATGACCTTCATCATCATCTTCATCTGGACTCTCACAGCGTTTGCTCAAGGTTTGTGCAGCACAAGTTTGATATGAATTCATTTCTTCAAGTATATTGTCCAAGTTTTGAGTTGATGTTCTTCTTGTTGTGTGTTTCAGAGAGTAGAGGACAGATCAGCGTCACTCAGAGTCCCTCAACGACAGCAGCTCAGCCAGAACAAACAGTGAAGATCAGCTGTAGAACCAGCACAGATGTGCTCAGGGATAGTTGGGGGCAGCGCTTAGCCTGGTACTTACAGAAACCTGGAGAAGCTCCTAAACTCCTGATTCGTTACGTAAAAAAGCTTGAGTCAGGAACTCCATCTAGATTCAGTGGCAGTGGATCTAACAGTGATTTCACTCTGACCATCAGTGGAGTCCAGACTGAAGATGCTGGACATTATTACTGTCAGAGTCGCCACAGTGGTTATGTGTTCACACAGTGATAAAGAGTGGTACAAAAACCTCCATCAGGCAGAGTCACAGTGATGAACTGATGCTGCAGCTGCTCAAACACTATCACTCACTACTGACACACAGAGACCAAACACAGCAGCTACACACGAGCTCCAAACTGACTGTTAAACTGATAGCAAAGCAAAACATTATGGTGCAATATGCTGTTTTGGTTTTGTACGTTACATTTTGTACATTAAACTAGCATTAACTTAGCTCCTTCATCTCAAGCTGATTATGAATTTATTACTCATAACTAATTTCTCATGAGCAGAAGTGAAACTGATCCAGTTCAGAGCGTTGAACCGATCAAACAGTGAAACTGTGAGTTTGAGCTGAAAATCAGATTTGCATTGACAGCTTTAGTGATTCTGATCGTCTCAGAATAGAGCAGCTCCGTCTCCAGAGACCATGTTCAAACCCCAAGAGCTTCAGTTCACATTTACTGCTAAACGCAGCTGTTCTCAACTATTACAATCCAGCAGCAGCTGAAACTTTAGTGAAGGAAGGACACACTGATCAATGATGCAGTCGAACACAAATGTAAGGCGTTCAGAAGCTTTATTGAATGAACAGCAATGGCAGCACATTGAAAGACTGCTTGAGTATTGAGCTGTAAATCAGGAGACTGCTGTGAATCCTGCTGCTCTTCACTGGAGAAACATCAGCACTCGGAGCTCTTGAGGAACGAGGCCTCCTGAGCAGCTCCGTCATGTGTTACTCTGCAGACGAAGCGCTCGCCGTCTTCCCAGCGTGCTTTGCTGAGGCTCAGGACGCTGCTGCGGCTGTAGCGTCCGTCCCGCTCGCTCTCTGCGCTGGTCTGAACCCCCTCGGTGACCTCTGACCCGTCCAGCGTCCAGCTCACCTGCGCCCCCTGTGGAGAGTAAGAGCTGAGCAGGCAGAGCAGTGCGGCTGAGTCTCCAGAGATCTGCAGAGAAGAGGAAGGCAGCAGAGACACGGAGGGCTTCACTGCGGGACCAGCTGAAACACACACACACACACACAACAGAAGCAGAAATGAAACACTGTCCCAATTTCGATCATTTGACTTTAAATTTATGAGACATTTGAAATAATTCTTCGACTTTTGAAAAACATTACTCAAGTAAATTGATGATTATATAGTGATGTCACTATATGACTTAGAAAAAAAATTAAATGAATATTTTAATATTAATTGTACTTAAATATTCTGCTATTCAGAGACTCACAATCATAAACATCAGCAAATTTGATAGTTTCAAAAGTTTAAATGCTAAATTTTCCAAATGTTCAAGTTCCACGTTGCCTGATGATAAACCCTTTATTGGTACATTTGCCAAGAATTATAGACAAAATTATATATATATCAAGAAATAATTCAATAGATTTTAAATTACTGCCATCAATGCATGTCATTATTCTTATAAAATGAAAAATGACTTAAAACAATATGAATTAAAAAATTTAAATAACTGATTAAATAAATGAAAAAAATAAACTAATTAGATATTTTCAGAATTACTAAGTTACAGAACATCACATTTTTTCATCACAATCTAACAAAAAAAATTGTCCACATGAAAATAAATTAATAATATTATGATTTCATCACAAGATATAAAAAATCCTAATTGCAATAATTTCAATATTATTTGTCTTTTTAAAATATTCTTCTATTTTGACACACAATCAATTGTAATTCTCAGTACAGTTTTACGTTTCTATTATGATGTTGTTGGGGTTTTTTAATGATCAGCAGCAGCAGCAGCAAGCTTAATAGTTTAAATGACTGATTTTTAACACGCTTATTAACTACATTTCTCTTTGTGTGGTGATGATGCCGACACAATTATATTTCATCTGTATTATCAAACTTTTTTCATGCATCTAAAAACACTTAACTGTTTAACTGAAAACGATATACAATAATGTTACAGATAATAAGTTAAATTATTCATGTAAAATGATAAATGAGATTTCAAAACAATAAGACAATAAGAACTTAAGTAAATTATGAAGTAAATGAAATATTGCAATTATTAAACTTTAAAAACATTTTTATTAAAGAATTAAAGAGACTTACTGATGGTCAGTTTAGTTCCTCCACCAAAAGTGTACCACAGTGCTTCATTCTAGTGAAAGCGTCGTACAAAAACCTCCGTCACACTCAGATGAACACAAACTCCACGACACTCACACACACTGATATGAGACTCAACAGCACTCATGGTTTCTTCTAAAACAACATCAAATTTCATTTAAAAAACAAAACGTTGCATGAAGGCTGAAATCATGTTTTTCATAATCATTTCCAAAATGCATTCATCACATTTTCAAAACACATGTGATTTAAAGTAACTCTATTCACCTGCTTTAATAATGACACTTTAGCAAGCTTTAGATGCTTATTCCCTATCAGATGACCTTTGACCTGTTATACAGTGAAATAGATGAACACAGGTATTAAATGCTCTGAGCATTAAAGTCTGAATGAAAATGATAATTAAACTTTGTTTAATTATCCCAAAGTAACATGACATAAATCATGAGTGTTTCAGACGAAATAGAGATAAATAGAGATTTGGTAAATGGTAAATATGAATTTTTAGCAAAGATGGCAAAATTATGCATCTGCTGTCTTCTGGTAAATGATGTGGAGTGTGTTTGCATATTGATCAGATGCTTCAGTGCTCTGAGAGTGTTTATAGTGCTGTGAGTTTAACACTTCATCACTGACACACACAACAATCTTCATCAACATGACCGTCATCATCATCTTCATCTGGACTCTCACAGCGTTTGCTCAAGGTTTGTGCAGCACAAGTTTGATATCAATTCATTTCTTCAAGTATATTGTCCAAGTTTTGAGTTGATGTTCTTCTTGTTGTGTGTTTCAGAGAGTAGAGGACAGATCAGC